TATGGGTTTCCGCTGCGGAATTCAGCCTCGAGCAAGATATCTCTCGCAAGCTCCTTCCGAAATGGATGGGGCCCTGGCCGATCTTGGCACCCGCCGGCGACGCACCCGAAGGCCCTTCGTTTATCATTTGGGTGCCCGAACACTTGCCTGTCAACCCGGTCTTTCACTGTTCAAAGTTGGCTCCCTACACGCCAGCCGAACTTAACGACTTCCCCGGGCGACGATCGCAAGACCCGTCCTCAATGGACGACTTCCAAGAGATCGGCAACATCATATCCCACCGACGACATGGCAACAAACCGACTGAATTCTTGGTTCACTTTGCATATTGCACGCATAGAGCTGACCGATGGCTGACTCGTGCGGAACTTTAGGCAACAGCGCCCGATGCTCTTGCACGCTATGAGCAGAAACTGAAAGGCAAGCCGGCACCTTCGGCTCCCCGACGCACACGCGTCCAAGTACCGCCTTCGGATCGACAGCTTCGCCCCCGACCGGCTTGACTTCATAAGGAGGGGGGGGTGTTACATGCTGAGCCTGACACACGGGCCCATTTTCGGGCCCGACGGTTGTTGAGGGCCCCTAGGCCGCGCGCCTGTTCCAAGCACGCGACCTGGAGGCCCACGGCCATTGGACAGGCCGTAGGTACAGATTTGAGGCAGCAGTCATTCATTTATTTATGTATTTACTTATGTGTGCTGCTGTTTGCCTGTTCTATTTTTGTCTGTTTCAGGTGACGTTTCGGACTTGCAGTTCGTCCGAACAGATCTACGATCTGTTCGGACCAAGGCCACGTTTTTGGCCTCCTCCATTCGTGGCCAGGCCCTTTTAGGCCAGGTTCGCTTTTGTCTGGTAGCAGACACTCCCTGCTGCATCAGCAGGGAAGGCCTGGACGTCCGATAGGGACCCAGGCAGGCCGTTTTTAGGCCAGACCCAGGGACAGGACTTTTCCTTGCGACCTGGACCATGGATCGGACCTACGATCTCACGGCCCAGATCGCAGGTCGAGGGTACAGCACCACGGCCCAGCACTACTTATAGTTGGGCCAGCTCCTGGGCAAAGACAGTTCGAGTAGCTCATTCTGAGCGACACGCTGCTGGTTGGAGGCTGCGCTATGCTGCGCTAAGTAGAGGAGTAGGGAGTAGAGTTAGGCGAGGTAGAGAGTGGCGGAGGCCATACCTGCAGTCGGCGAGCTTACCTGGTGCCATAGCTGGGATCCACGCGGTACCTGCACACAGCAACGGACGAGGTCAGTTCAAGTGGCAGCTACCTGCAGGTGAGATAGCAAGGAGGACTTCATCCTCCTCTCTCTCTCTCTCTCTCTCTCTCTCTCTCTCTCTCTCTCTTCTCCCTCCTCCCTCTTCCTTCTTCTTCTTCTATGAGAGTGTAAGAGGTTATCAGTAGGGATTCAGGTAGAGGTTGTAACGGGCATATTGCCCACGATCTGCTTCGACATTTCTGGGACGGACATTGTTGGGACATTCGGCAAGAGACTATTTTGGACTTCGCCATTGCGATCTGGGTCTACTCTCTCGCGTCCCATCTCCTTCGTCTCATCCCTCCCCCATCTCTCATCCGTGGTATCTCCCCCATGTTGCGTATGAAGGAGGGACCTTTCTTCCGTGTTTGCGGTCCCTCCTCTTATCTCACATGTGTGATGTCCGATGGATGTCGGGTCAGTCCAGGTCAGATCAGATCTTATCTTTGAGTCTTCCGCTGCGCCACATTGTGCCATTTGTATGTATCGAGGTGTACATTGCTTGTTGATGCTATGATGACATTGCTTTGTTCACGTCAGTCCTTTTCATCACATTGCAGATCCTTGGTCTACTGCGCATTGCTCCCCTGAGCATGCGTCACCCAGGCATGAGGGTCCAGGGCAGGCCTAAATCTGGGACCAAATCACAGCCAAGTTCAGACATTATGACTGGCTGGCGCTCTTGGCCTATTTTTCAGGGCCTTCTAGGCGCTGGTCGTCTTCACTTGCTGCTTGAAAATCTCAGCCACAGATTAAACGGCCGGAACTTTTCCCGTGTGAAGTGAAGAAGAGGGCCAGAGCCTAGAAGGCCCTGGACAACGTGGCCACTGACACAACTAGGTTCATGGTCTGAGATCATTTTACAGTTAAAGCTCAGACCCTGACTGAAGTGCAAAAACGAGTTTGGACCCCTGGTTGTTTTCTTCTTAGGGAAATAGGGGGTACCTGGGCGCTCGGTCCCTTGATAGCCACAAGAGGCTGGCGGAGGGATAGTTGGAGGAGGGAGGAGGTTCTCCCCACCGTATAGGTGGCTACTCTTAGAGTAGGATTATTATCGTTGGGAGTAGGGGTGGGTGTTTTTCGTTTTCCCCCTCCCCAAGTAGTTAGGGTAGGTAGATAGTTTTTTCTGCTAAGAGCTATAGATTACTACCTTCTTCCCCCGAACACAACGCGTATGCGTTGTAAACGAATACAACACGTAGGGCACCTTCTATTCGAATACAACGCATGTGTTCTATTCAAATAGCCCTAAATTTCGAATGCAACGCATATGCGTTCTATTCATTTTTTTTTTTCATATTTTGAAACTCTAATACAACGCATATGCGTTATGTTCGGGGGAAGAAGGTAGTCAATTAGGTAGATTTTTTTTCTTTTCTTCCATCATTAGGTTTGGGTGGTTTGGTTTGTGACGTTTCTCTGCCCGCGACGGGAAATTTATTTTTTTTTGGTGGTATTTCAGGTTTGTGTGGCTTTTTGCCATCGCTTTTTTCCTAGAGTTGGGAAGTGTCAGGGCAGCGGTCCAGCTTTGGCCATTCTGCTCGTCGACCCTAATTTCCCGACGCCGGCACCTAAGCTGGGTAATTCTCCCAGTATTTTACTTTCCGGGTTGTTTGTGGAGGGATTCCGGGCCTCCCCCTTTTTGTGTGGTCATAAAATGAGCTGAGTTTCAAAACATACAAACAAACAAACGAGTTTGTATTGCACTTCAGTTTTTTTTAAGTATGCCCCGGCTGTACTTTTCTAGGGAAAAAGGTTTCAGTTACGCGTGTTTGTCACAAGCAACTCCGTATCAGGATGTACGTTTACCTCAGGCGTTTGTTGTCTGTAAGCGTCTTAAGTTTGATGGAGCCTAGCTAGCTACCGATACGCGGTTGGCATTGGGAAGAAGAGAGAGAACATCAGGCTCCTTTTACTCGCTTCGACCCCAATCTGAATGGGAACATTTTTGCATCTAGAAGGCCAGGATTACCTGTGATAATGATCTGTAAATGAAATCCTGTGATCGGTATGTGCATGGTTTTGGCGTTTGCTTGTAATTGTGATGATTAATATTTTTCCTTATATTATACATCAGGTTACTTTTCCTTGCTTTGCAGCTAGGAGGCCACGAGGATTACCTGTAATAATGATCTATGAATGAAATCTTTTGATCGATATGTGCATTGTGTTGAGTCTGTTGACATTTGCTTGTAATTGTGATGATTAATATATTTCCTTACATTATATGCTGTTGCAGCCATATGCGCCTTTCATCCCGGGATGAGTCAATGGCGACGGCTCAGGTGAGAGACTGCCCACAAGCGAGTCAAAGGGACTACCACATGCATGCGAATTACATCGCGAATGCTTTTTGCCATAGGGACGTTCTTCTTGGAGGTAAAGCTGCTGCTCCTGCAGGAAGCCAGAAAGACTTTCGCACTCCGGAGGGTCAGGATCAGTATCCTCAGGACTCCAGCTGCATCCTTGCTATGGAAATCTCAAGATTGCTCTCAGAGGTTCATCCCAAGGCACTGCGCAGAGTCATTGGTCTCCTTTCGCTCTGGCAGACCAAAGAAAACAATTATGGTACGTACGTTCGAAGGTGCCTCATCTTAGTTTGGCTGCTCGCAAGACGGGAGACTGTAAGGAATTGTATATGGGTTTTGGTTTTTGAAAACCTCTTTCTGTGTGCTTGTGTAGATTTCTCTACTGATTTTTTGCTTTGCCCTCCATTTTTTCTTGGGATGACTCTCAAAGACAGGGCATTGCTTTCTGAGACTTACTGTTGTCTTTCGCTTTTGCCCTCTCTTGCAAAAGAATACAGCAATGGCTGCGGGTCTTTTCTACTCTTTGTGGGTTGCTTTTCTTCTTCTTCTTCTTCTTCTTCTTCTTCTTCTTCTTTTCATCTTTTTCTTCTTTTTTGTTTTCTTGTCTTGTTGTTGGGAGTTTTGGAAGCAGCGACAAGCTCAGAGGCTATGAAACACTTCATGGATGGATTAATTGCACCGACGTTGTTGGACAAGATGTCAGTTGTGACCATCATAATGATTGGTTTGACTTATGGTAATGCATTGGCAGTTGTCTAATCGGGTTTCCTGTGCATCATTAAATAGGGCTTTCGTTGTTGCAGTTCCTAGTACTTTGTGGCTTTCCAATTTCGGGGCTCGGCAACTGATCGCCTTGCAGATGAGCATTTGTGACTTCTGCATGTGGATTAGAGTTTTTTGAATCTTTCGCAACATCATTTCCGTTCGTGCCATGAGCACATGCTTTTTATAATTGTTTCGTTCGGGTGTTGATGTACATACCTGTCCTGAGAGTTTCCCATTTTGCATAGTGAAAGCATGCACCTTTTCGCTTTTCCTTCATTTGTTGGCGAAATGACTGATTGTTCTGTTCTTCTCCCCTGTGTTGGCCAAAACAGGTGGTCCTGAGAAGGGTGTCCTGAACTTCATGAGGCATGTCGAGGCTCTTGCACATAGTGAAGAGGAGACGGCTGGCTTTCTCTCCCAGTTACTTCAGCATGTAGGAATTGCTCCCAGTTCCATCCCCAACTTGGCTTGTTCCTGGTTTTCTTTATGCAGCAATGTAAGGAAGCACTAATGTGCTGGTGGAATCACTGTGTGTGTGTGTGTGTGTGTGTGTGTGTGTGTGTGTGTGTGTGTGTGTGNGAGAGAGAGAGAGAGAGAGAGAGAGAGAGAGAGAGAGAGAGAGAGAGAGAGAGAGAGAGAACGCTCATCAGCAGCTGGGTTCCAGAGGAGACTGCTGTGGTTGTGTGTCTATGTTTTGTGGAATTTGAGTACCCTGTGAGGTGGTATGGTTGCAGTTATTGGGTGGTGGGTGGAAAAGGGGGAGACACATGGACCGACTGCTCAACATGGCTGTTGCATCATGTGTGATTCTTGTGAAGGGGGAACTAGGGACCAAACCAAATTGAGAAGTTGCAAGAAAAAGGATCCGTTTGTTACCTTTGTTGCATGGAGCTCTCCCACAGTGGAGTTGAGGGTCTGTTTCTTTCTGTCCGCTTCTTTTACTAGAGTGAGAACATGTGTCGCATTATTTCAGAAGATGTCAAAGTACATTTTTGAGTTATCTCAGAAGATGACGATACGTCAATGCCGTGATCTTGTGCAAACAGTGCCTGCAGTTGCCCTGTTCTAACCTTCAAGGTCTAGAATGGTGGACGGTCTCTACGGGTGGTACTGGGCATTCGGAGGAGAGGACGGTTGGTACTGGGTAATACTTTTGCCAGTGCAGGGGATTTTTTTTTTTTTTTTTTTTGTGAAACAGAACCTCTTGGTTCTGGCTCCGTTCCATTCTGGGAGCATCAGTCCGGTTCCTCTTCCACCGGCAAGTCAGGAATCACAGTACATTTTGAACGCACGCACGCTCCTTCCCACTATGGCTGGAAGGCCCGACGGCATCTGGCTAGCTTAGGCAGGGGTGAGGGGTGGTACATCCTTCCACAGGGATCAATCGTTTTATTTTTGAAACGTTTGCAATTCCTCTTTTCCAGACCAGGGTACCTACACATTTACACATTTTGCAATCCACGGCCACTTTCGGTAGGGCTTCAACCTTGTCACAAAAGAGAGCGTGAGGCATCTTCCTGCGCTAATCTTTATGAGACCATAGGGGCTCACAGTTGCTTGTATTAGTAGGGTCCGGTAGGCCCCAGGCCTTGAAGAAGAAGTACCATTGTGCAAGATGTTCAACGTCCCTCGGGTTCCACCAGTGCTTGTGTTAGCAGACCCTCAGGGTTCCTAAAAAGAAACATCTGCGCTCAGTGCTTTCTTTTGCTTTTTTGAGGGGTTTTTGGAGGCTCCAAGGAGCTACTAATGTGCTGTGGCCTCCGGCGTAAAGAAAAGGAAAGGATCACATCTATACCGGACACTCTATCATGCTCTGTGTTCCATTTTCGTTGCAAGGTAGATGTTTTACTGGGGCTTGTGGTGAAAGAGAATTGAGGGTCGAGATGAGGTATTGTAATGAAGCGAAACTCTGCGATGGTATGTCTATAAGTGAAGATAAACATTGTGATGGTATGTATCTGTAAGTGCAACTTGTTTGCTTGCATGCACTGACTCACGCACACAAATGTACACAGCGGCGCGTGCACAGATGCAAAGATGTGTGCATAAATCTGTTTGTCTGTCTCTTTTGCTTCCTAGCTTCCACGTTCCTTCTTCTACACACACTCTTCACTGCCATCATACACAGGCCCACTTAACTGCTGTGGTACTACTAACCCAATACGATAGGTGATCTGCCCCCATGTAGTATTTCACCGCTCCGACTAAGGCCTTGCCGGTTTTGACCAACAGCAGGCAGAGGGCCGAAGGCCAGTGTGCATTCACATGCTTCCCCAAGTGCACAAGGCCGAAGGGCTGCAGGGTATGCTTCCCCGAAAACGACCGCTCTTCGAGCCGCCTCATCTCGTATAAGCGCCAGGGTCCTAGACTATATCTATCTCAAACGTGCATGCATGTGCTTTGTTTGCAACAGTTCCGTCTGTCGGTAGGTCAGTCGGTCGGTGTTGCATACTCGTGAACACAGACATAAGTATGGCGCAGATCCCCAGAACGACCATATAATACAGAGCAAATACAATTACTGCGGAAGACTTGATACACATGGACTGACTTAAACCTGACTCAGACTGCAACGAATCCCTCACAAACATGCATCGGTGGTGTGAAAGCCCTAACCTTGGACATGGAAGAAAGGGCCAGGGTACACAGATGAATGGAGGGGAGGAGAGACGAAGGGAGGAGGAGAGGGAAGATGACATCAACTCAATTGGTCTCCAAAAATAGTATCTTGAAATGTCATAAGTAGGGAAAATCCGAAATGTCGCGAACACAGAGCCTCACAGTGTCCCAGATATCGATCTCCCAATGCCAAGATACATCTCCGGAGGTAGATGAAGTCAGATCCCAAAAGTAGTCCTCAACCGAAAGTCTCAATTTTGTTATCTCCGATATCATCAGAACTTGTAACCATCCTCCATACTTGTAGTAGTCCAGTAGGAGTAACCCAAGAAGTAGACTTGAACTTAGAGGGCAGGAGGAGAATGAGGGCGGAGGCGGAGAGGGGGAGAAAAGGAAGAGGGAAGAAAGGCGAAGCCTTTCTCCCTGATACCACCATCCCTGCTGATGTCCGCTGAGGCCGAGTCGGGCGATGCAGCTATGACGCTGCAGTGCTGGGCGCTGGGCAGTGGGCTGAGCCGGAGAGCTGGCGCTAATCGCTGCTGCGCTAATTGCTGCTGCGCTGATCCTCCTCGCTGCTGCGCTAATCCTCCTCACTGCTCCACTATTCTGACGCCGAAATGCTGTCCTAGACTACCCTGCCTACTGAGCCTGGTACCCGGCTGATATAGCGCTGGGCCGGCCTTAATGCTGCTGGTACCTTCGGGTCTGGGCCGTTGATCAGCCCAACGGTTTAGATCCGATACCGAAATCTGAAAGTGGCACCTAAACTTGGCTGCCTTCAAAACTCCACCGCTGGTACGTCCTAGTGTTGGACCGGTACCGGTCTGGCCCTTGTGACCGTTGGCCTACTCGGCCTCTGGTCCGACCTACAGGTCTGAACCGACGTGACCCCTGACCCTAGGCCTAAACTAAGCCTAACTACGGAACCGGGCCCTAACTGGGGCCTGTGTGGTGTTAGAATGCCACGGTCGGTCGGTCGGTCGGTTGGTCGCTCGGTCGCTCGCTCTGTCCGTCCGTCCGTCTGGTGCTTGTGCTGGTCTAGAGAAGATGGTCGAGAGGACCAAAAGGAAACTGAGTCAAGGCACTCGTGTATGCGCGTAGAATTCTGTCTGTTTGCGGCTGTGTCCCACCCCAAATCTTCTGTTTGTCTGTCTGTCTGTCTGTCTGTCTGTCTGTCTGTCTGTCTGTCTGTCTGTCTGTCTGTCTGTCTAGAGAGATTTGACGTAGCCCAATGTGACAAATTTAAAACGCGTGAGGAGGTTGGGCTAGGTCAATTTGGTGCTTGTGCTGGTCTAGAGAAGATGGTCGAGAGGACCAAAAGGAAACTGAGTCAAGGCACTCGTGCATGCGCATAGAATTCTGTCTGCTTGCGGCTGTGTCCCACCCCAAATCTTCTTCTGTGGAATTGTTTGCGGTTTTTGTGCATTTTGGCTCTTCATTTCTGAGTTCAACAGCATGCTTACGTCTCTACTGTTTTATCTACTCTTTTCTATGCAGGTAACAGATCAGAAATCATCAAGCCTTCGGTCGTTGAAAAATCTGTCCATGCTACTTGGACTCATGGTGGGTACTGAGGGAGGGTGCATTCTCTCCAGGTGGATTGAGGGGTTACTGTCTTCTCCTGCAGCCCCCATGTCACTCAAGCAAGGAGTATGCTCAGTAATGCAGATGATGCTGCAACAGCAACCATCTGTGGACTGGGCTCCTGTGAAAGAGGGAAAACCTTGTAAGGAGCTGCTCTACCCTTTGCATACTACCTTGGATGTTCCATTTGAATATTTTGCAACGGCTTGACCAAAAGTTCGCTTTTGTCTCATGTCCCTTTTGCTGGATATGAGTCAAGGATGTGGAAAGATCACACCCCACAACAGAGGACTGCTAGCTAATGCTAGGCAGTGACTACGTTTGTTGTTCAAATGGCTGCACATTATTTACACGGGGGGAAAGAGGCGGAAAGTGAAGGGGTGGGGGATCGTGCAAGGAGCCGGAATTCTTTTTTGCCTTCCATGCAGGATTGGAAATTGTTCCATGCATTACTTTATGGGAGAGTTTGTGCTGATCTCCCAGTTTTTGTTGACTAAGCTGCAGTGTTGTGTCACCCCTCATCACGAGTAGTGAAGAGTGATCGTGTGTTTACTTGTAGAGAGCGGAACCTTTTTTTTTATAATTATTTTTGAGTCGGGCATGGTTGTCTTCCGCTTGTGTGCAGATGGTGTCAATGGCAGGGTTTTGCCTTCAGAGAGCAATGTTGTGTTGCAGCACCAGAGGGATGACTCAAATGCGCCTCAGACAGTGCTGGACATGTTTGCAAATGCTGTGCCCGCGCTTGTTCAAATTGTAAAGGGGTACAGGTGAGGTCAAGCAGGGCGATGGGGTGGTTGCATTGCTTTTCATGTGTGGTTTGGGCTGATATTTAAATATACTGCGTGATTTGACTCATGTCATTGCCATGTGAAGCTCTTTGTGCTATGACATTGAGTTCCAGTACTTCCATTTGAGACCTCTTCATACCAGATATGTTTTCTCAGCTGATCAGCCCCCTTCTATGCAGCAGCTCTCCTTGCCTGTTTCTCACTGCTGTGATCTCTGGGTGCAATTCCTGGTGTTGCTTCACGACCTCTCCGCGTTGTTGTTCGAGGCCTCTTTCTGCTGCCTCCTGCCATGCCTTGTCATCTGCTTTTGTGATTCCACCTTTGCCATGAATTTGGTCTAAGATAATTTGGGTAGAAGTCTGAATTACGCTTATAAGGTGTTTTGCGGATGCATCTGGTGGTATGCCACACAACTTTACAAGTGATGTCATCTTATGGCTCGTTGTGTTATGTGCTCGATTGATTCATAATCCAAAACCGCATTCAAATGTTCCCATTCACATCGGCAATGGCAGGCAGACTGGAGAGAGCAGATTCACACCATAGCCATGGAGAGAGATTGCACAGCGGAAGCCAGAACCAGATATAAAAATTGAGAGAAAAATGTTTCAATCAATTATTTATTCAACCCCCTGCGCTCCTCTCAACCGAACAACTCCAAGAATCCCAATCACGAATTCAGTTCCACCTCCAATTAACCCCGAACAATACACTTCACTGAAGTTAGCAGTGAAACTTCCCCTTCCCCCTACAACCCTGGAATTGAGTGGCCCCTTTGGAGAAGGTCATCAATGCCTGGGTAACTGCAAGAGCAACTTGCTCTGGTGAGAATCCCGCATCTTTCACCAGCTGGGGGAGTAGATCCACCCTGGCCAGCACCTGCAGAATCATCATCAGATTCCTACCATAGGAAGGTCCAAATGGATCTGCCCCCACAGTATCAAGCATCTGTCAAGCGGACAACTGATGTATAACATGTCTGTTCACAGCACTACAGGCTTTACAGCCTATAGGCTGCACTTTACCAGAAACCCAAGACAACCTCTTGATGATCTCATTGACAAGGCTAAGCTTAAACTAACTCCTGGGACTGCAGAATTCACCAAGAGTTTAATCCGATGATCTCATTGTCAAGGCGAGAGACCTAGAGAAAGCCAGAACTAACATGTTCAAGGCCCAGAAGAGGATGATAGAACAAGCTAATAAGCATCGTTCTCCCTCTACTATATGGCCAGGTCAAACTGACGAACAGCGCATATCAAGAAAGTTGTTGCCTGTTTGTTATGGCCCATGGCAGGTGCGTGATACTGTGGGGGCAGATCCATTTGGACCTTCCTATGGTATGGAATCTGATAATGATTCTTCCGGTCCTGGCCGGGGTGGATCTACTCCCCCAGCTGGCCAAGATGCAGGATTCTCACCAGAGCAAGTTGCTCTTGCAGTTACCCAGGCATTGATGACCTTCTCCAAAGAGGGCACTCAATTCCAGGATCGTAGGGGGAAGGAGAAGTTTCACTGTTAACTTCGTTGAAGTGTATTGTTGGGGGTTAATTGGAGGTGGAACTGAATTCGTGGTTGCGATTATTGGAGTTGTTCGGTTGAGAGGAGGAGAGCAGGGTGTAATGATCCCAGTCTCGTCATCCAATCATGTCGCAGATAACAACGCCGTGCAGTGTCGTGAAATAATTAAATGCAATAAGTCCATCAGTTTGAAGTCATTGAAGTACATGTTTCCTCATTACCACATGTAAAGTCTCAAAGTCCACAGTATCCAGAAGAGAGAGGAGGGGAGAATAGACAGTTGGAAGGAGAAGTGTAATACAGCAATTAAGGCCCTCTTCTCCTTCAGGCTCCCCACCTCTGCCACATCAGCAATCTGCACTCAATGTGCCACGGCCGCAATCTGAACTCAAGGAGACACGTGGACGATTGTGGAAGCAGCCCTCGCAGACAAACGATCCTCCAAATTGCGAGCAGAATCGGCAGCCGCTTCACATTTGAAGAAACCAGGTACGTACGCACGACAACTCACATCACCCACACTCTCTCCCTCGCTGTCATCTATGGTCGCGGCCGTGGCCCCCCTCTCCCTCTCTCTACACTACGATATCTGGCTGGTGCCCATGAAGCAGCCTGGTGCCAGCACTCTCTCTCAAGTCTCACGTGCAGCGTCGTAGCCACAAACAACTCGCAAGACTGAATGTCCAAGCAGTGGCGAGGTCAACTTAATATAGTGTTGACTCGCATGTCCACGGTCAGCCACGGTCCATGTGAGGGCCCGGATCTTCCAATGTGTTCCGGTTTCGGTCTGGACTGAATCTTCCGGAACCCGCAGACCACTGTTAGATCATTTCAGATCGATGGCCAGGAAAATCTTCTGTGTTGACTTTGACTTCTCGGATCTGGGCCTGGGTCCACGAGCTGACTGTTGACTTTTCTGTCAACTGTCAGCCTGGGCCTTTTCTGAGGCCTGTTTGACCCCTCTATTTTCAAGCCTGCCCGTTCGTGCTTGTCTGTGGGCGTGGCGAGGACCCAGTGGCTCAATTTGGCACACGGGTTACAGCAAGGGGGTTTAATAAATAATTGATTGAAACATTTTTCTCTCAATTTTTATATCTGGTTCTGGCCTCCGCTGTGCAATCTCTCTCCATGGCTATGGTGTGCATCTGCTCTCTCCAGTCTGCCTGTCATTGCAGATGTGTATGGCAACATTTGAATGCGGTTTTGGATTGTGAATCAATCGAGAACATAGCTGTTGTCTGTCTTTATGTAGTTTCTTCGCTTCATTCGGGCTTTTAAACTAGTAGTACCTCTGCCACTCTTGGGGAATTAGGGGAAACTGGCAGTTTTCCCGAAGTCCCTGAAGAGGTCGGAGGTACCAGAGGCTCGGCATCCATTGTATTTCTGAATACGAAAAAAAAAAAAGAAAAAAAAGAAAGAAAGGAAGGATGTCGGGGAAGGCTGTGAAGGAGATGTGCTCACATCAGTACTCAAAGGCACGCATCTACCCAGAAACACAGGTAGTTTCGTTTTCTGTTTTGTGTGTTCTCTTTTCACGGATTGTGATTTCATTTTGGCGCCCTGCCAACGAGGCAGGGCAGCTGACACTTTGCAATGGAGGGAACAGTCTCATATGTGTTCCGGATTCTGTATCCAGCTGCTTTCACGTCCAGGGAGTTGTTGCCTTTTTTTTTCTTTTTTCTTTTTTCGTTCTTTTTTTTAAACCCTGCTGCCGCCCGTTGGGAGGGCATACTCTCACATGTACTCCAGATTCTGTATCTAGCTGCTTTCACGTCCAAAGAGTTGTTGCTTTTTTTTTTTTTTTTGTTCTTATTTTTTAACCCTGCTGCCGTGATTTCAGCAGGCTGTAACGCCCGTTGGGAGGGCATACTCTCACATGTACCCCAGATTCTGCATCCGGCTGCTTTTGCGTCCCTAGCATTGTTGCTTTTTTCTTTTCTTTTTTCGTTGTTCTTTTTTTTTTTTTTTTCCATTTCCAAAGAGAACAAGAAAAGAAAACACAATGGCACCCAGGCTCGGCAACTTTCGGTGCACAGTGAAATTCAGGGTCGGCCGAAACAGGCTCGGAGGTACTACCGTCTTCAGCCGAATAGAACGCCCGGTCATTATAACCGTATTTGGTGTAATCTTCCGTCCAGATACGGCTATAATGACCGAACGTTCTATTCGGGTGAAGACGGTAGTGGTTTAAGGACTCGAAAAAAGAAATAGGTGTATCCATGTGATGACCAACAACACTGGTTCTCAAACCTTTCCCATTTGTGTATGTGTCTCATTCCGCAAGTGCCACTGTATTGCAACAATATTGTGTAGTTTAGAATGACCGCTCCATCAGAAGCTAAATCGATGAACCAAAAAGTGGATTTTCCAGAGCCTTCTTTCAACTGGTACCTTGAGTTGGCAGATCTGAAGTGATACTGGTACCAGCTGTGGGCTTCGCCACACCATTGTCGAAACTGAAAAAAAACGAATGCATCTTTCCCCAGAAAGTGGTAACATGCATCGGTTGCTATTCACAGTAACAAATGCATTTTGCCGTACTTTTTTTTTTTTTTTGACAGTGGTGTGCCGAGGCTGTGTGTGTGTGTGACAAAAGGGCAGGTAGGCAGGCCTTATCATCTCGGCCTGCCTCTGTTCCGTTTCTTGTTTTTTTCTTTGGTGCACCCATGAACTGTTGAAAGTTGAAACACAGAGGGAGGCCTNACAGAGGGAGGCCTTATCATCTCGGCCTGCCTCTGTTCCGTTTCTTGTTTTTTTCTTTGGTGCACCCATGAACTGTTGAAAGTTGAAACACAGAGCTGAGTTCGAATCCGGCAGGAACTAGATGAGTGTTATTCTGAAGTAGCGAGGGCCAGTCAGTTTCACCACTTAACAAATGTCAAAAATGGGAATGAATCGTTCTAGAACACGGAAGCATGCACCACCCCATTTTTTCCTTTTGTGCATGTAGTGATTCGCAGCACGGATTCCAAAGAGACGAGAAGTGAAAAAAAAAAAAGAAAAAAAGAGCAAATTGCCAAATACAAGATTCCATATGTATCGTAGTCGTGAGCTGTGGGTGCTGTGGTCTCATTCAAAATTTCTGCTGTGTAGTCTGGGTGTGCTGTGGTCTCATCATTCTGCCCTGCTGAGCTGGCAGGGTGGTTTTCCTCTGAACAAAAAAACACAGCGAAAGAAATGCAAAAACAAAACAACTGTAAGAAAAGACAATGGCCCTGCCCTGTTTTCTCGTGTATCAGTAACGGGTGTTCTTTCTTTGTTTGATAGTTTTTTTTGTTTTTTGTTTTTTGGTTATGTAACTTATGTTTTAACAGTTTTATATTTCGGTTTAGAGTATATGTCGTGCACCCCCCGTTGTTTAATCATTTCACGTTCATCCGTGGTACTTTTTTTTTATTTTTAAATTGGACGATTTCTCGATTTGTGCGTGTCATCCTTGCGCAGGGGCCATGCTAATCTTCTCTGTATCGTTCCAATTTTAACGGATGTCCCGAAGGACAACTGGGGTACTTTTCCTTTTTTTTGTGCGTACGAAAAACAATGAACAGTAACGGCCTGTTGGACTGATGGTTTAAGGCTTTAAGCACAGAACCGACAGAGAATGAATCGTAAATGGGAAAAAAAAATAAAAATCATGAAGCTTGCTTATGGTACAGTGCAGCATGACCGTCTGTTTTGACAGCTTGCCTTTCCTTGTTGTATGACGAATCCGTTCTTCGCAACCTGTTTGCAAAAACATTTTGTTGCTGTGAATGAATGCATAAGAAACCAGACTAGTGGCCTTGGCCCTTGGGGAGGAACGTCAGTTAGGTGAGCGGCCCCTTTCCTGCATCAGGGTCGGTTTGATCCCACCCACAGAAAGACAATCTCAGAAATATTTAAGGGCTGTAGCCAGGATCATTGGTTCATTTTGGCTGGCGATTGTTTTTGGTGAAATTTGCTGCTAGATGGGAGCTGTATTTGCTTGGTATTTTTTCCTATTCGAAAATCTGGTGAACAGGATAGACTCCACCAAATAAAGCAGGTGACGAGTCACGGGCTTCTTTGGAGAAAAATAGGTGCAAGGGATACCTGTGATAGTCTATTTTTAACTGTGCTTCTGCTCACCAAAAGTTGAAGGCCTCTCTCCTACGGTTTTCTGAACCTATGAAAACAATGCTGAACCTTGTCTGTTACCAGAATGCGATACCATCCATGTGCAGCCGATGTGCGAAACGAAAGGATGGCTTTCGTGATGCAGAACGGTGGTCGAGTAGTGTTGTTGGATTTTCTTGACAGTGAAATGACTGTTGAGTTTCGAGTCTTTTGACCTTTCTTCGGCGATACACTATCGGTAGGGCTACAGAAAGGATACTGTTGGTTGCCTTGAACGCCGAACCTATTTCTCTTTTAGTAGGATATGGTTCATCCTTCAAAATGCCTGAAGTGTTTGGGCACTATGGTTCTACAGAAGGAGATAGGCGGGCTTGCGTTATGTCGAGCTTTGACTAGCTCCCCCGATGTCTTCCGTAGATGTCTCTCTTGTGCAGGTCCAGTCACCAGTGCGTCGATCATAATGAAGATCCCCTTGATGGGGTCTTGGAAGGGACCAAAGGAGTGAGACAATTGGGGCAAAGAACACGAGTGCTGCTAGTATTTATCAGAGGGTGTCTGATCTAGTTGTCACAAATGATTTTCTACCTGTGGATGGGCTTGACAGTTCCTGGGGCAAGAAAGATAGAGCACAGTCAAATTTGGGCATCACGGCGGTTGAAGTTGTTCTGATGATCACACTTAATCTGCTTGATGACGAAGGAACGGTCTTGGAGTCGGATGGAGGGCGGAGTACAGGAGAGCAGAGGAGTCCCGACGACTTCAACTTCAGAGGGGTCTGGGATGAGGACTTGGGATGGACTTTCACAGACCAAAGCGAGGTCAACAAAGATGAGCTTGCTGAAGCCAGTGAGGTGTTTGCAGATGGAACGTCTGACAACGCGATCAGAGAATGCTCCAATGATGCAGGGGAATGCCATAGTGGTAACTTATGTGGTCGCAGCATCGTATGGAGGGACTTGGACCACTTGATTGATATGGTTCGAGAGATATGCCAGGTTAGGACCCTCCGTTGCTTTCCCCTTTTTCTCTCTGTTTGTGTGTGACTGTATTTTTCGCGGTGGGAACCTGACTGGATCCTCTAGCGATTTGGAGATGCGCTAATCTGGATGACAGACCACTTAGGTTTATCTATATTGTGGACGACAAACCACTTAGGTTTATCTATGTTATTACTGAATGACATGTTGTGGGTTTGGCTGCAAAAGAACAAAAGAAAGAAAAAGGGAAGCAGAAGCGAAATAGAAAACAAAGCTTCGCATGAAATTTTTGGTCAATTTGTGGGTGTGGAGGGCGCGGGGCGAACACAGCTCTCTCCCCCTCCCACCGTTCTGCCACCGCTCCCTGCGGCTGCAATTTTGAGGTTCTCCTTCACCCATAGTTCCCTTCCTCCCCACTCGTCCAACAATTCGGATCTTTTTTTGCGTCCCCCTTTTTTTTCTCCACTCACATTTGCCAGCT